GGAAGAGCAGCAGAGATGTCTACACGATCCAGCCATGGCAGAATGGAGCAATGCAGGGCACAGCCCTCCCTCCTCAGGCTGCCAGTAGGCAGGATAGGATCAATTAAGAGCTGTATCTTGCCCAGCCCTGCACTAGATAGATCTCTTACCAGATTCCAAGCATGAAATAAACGTCAATGCACTGATGCATTGCCTGGAAATATTAGCCTTTGATATGTTACGTTCTGTAACCCCCAAAACTCTGATTTTCTCAACCGTTTTAAAGACAAGGCAATATTCCTTACTCACCAGGAGCAACTGCATCTTTCTCCTCTTCTTTCTTTACTGGCACTGGAGGGGGTGGTGGTGGTGGCATCAGCTTGGAATCAATATCTTCACAATCTGCATCATAATCATCCTCATCTTCATCTAAACAATCAAGAAAGAGTCATCTGAACAGTCTGTTCTTAAAGATAAGCAGAATGCTAGAGGCAGAGATGGGGGAAAGCAGGCAGGTTCAAGTGATATAGGGGGTCCAATGTAGGCCCCCACCTATGCCTGATCAGGTGTCTCAGCTGATAGAACGAGGAATCAAGCTCGTGCCTGCAGGGCACCCCAGCCTTTGCAACCCAAGTTAAAAGACAGATCCGCATGTAAGCTTTTGCAGAAGACCCCAGGATCAGGGAAAACTGACACTCAGCTGTTTTCTGGTTGGCATGCCCTGAATGGTACTGTTTTGGAGAAATAAATCTACGTGTGAAGAAAGGGACTGAAATTTCACTCCTGCTGACAGCTCTCCAATGCCGTGGCAGATAGACAGCTAACAGTTTGCAAGAGGATGCTGAGGCAGGGAAAGCAAATGCCAGGATAACATATTGCAGACACACCACTGTCAATCACAAGCACAACAGCCAAAGCCAGTTTGTTTCAAATGCATGATTAACCGTCAACCCCAAGTACCTGGTCTCCGACTCGGCTGCAGGTTGCCCATTGCCTGCCTGAATCTGCGGCTCTCATCTTCCGCCATCTCGCTGATATCAGAGTAATCGACGGCATCCTCTGTGCTCTTAACCCAGCCTAAGGAGAAGACAAGAGTCACACAACAGAGTCATACCCCAATGCAGCGGTCACATTTCTTCCACGTGACTTTATCCTGTGGATCTTGCCCTCAGCATACCTTCTCCCCAACCCCTGTGGAGACTCCTTTTTATACGTGAACTGGAGCAACCCCACCCCACAAGAGCTCCTCAATACCTTTGGCCTGGGAAAGGCTAGGGTATGGAGTCTGTAGGTTCCCTTCACTGACCTGCCAAGGTCTATTCATATTTGACAAACAATGGTACGGCCACTGTCCTAAGACGACCACGAGCCAAACTCCTGATTGAAGAATCTCCTGATTGATGTTAGTAATCCCATCCCCCCACAGACAAAGTCAGGGAAGGCTCACACCCTACAGAGAGGTGACTCCAGTTGGAAACATAACCCAGATCTTCACTACTGCAGATGGAAGCCGTCTGTTTAATCAGCCTGTCTCTCCACAACCCGTCACAGCATGGGCAAGGGCCACATAAAGGGGCTTATCTGAGTGGAAACAAGACACTGTTCACCATGTGAGGGGCCCGCCTCCCATGGCTTTCCTATATGAAAGGACAGGCCAGTCTTGCTGGCCACTGGTCCCACAGGGCACAGCCCAGCACTGCAGGAGTGGGGCCGGCCTCCGGAGGAAGGGAGGGAGGGAGCCACGTACTGGGTTTGGGCCAGCCTGGAGCAAAGACAGGCCTGGGCCTGGGCCCGGAGTGGGGATGATAGCAGGGAGAACGGACCCAAGGGCCACCGCAACGCGGCTGCCGGCGGGTCGCTGCCCGGTACAGAGTTGCGGTCCCCACCAGCCTCACCTTCCTCATCCAGCTGCGGCCCGTCCGCCTCGCTGCCGTCCTCCTCGCTGGCCGTGAGCTCCGTGATGAGACTGCCCAGCCCCAGCGCGCCCAGCCCGGCCAGGTGCTTCTTACATTCCTGCAGCGGGAGACCAGCCCCGCGTTGGCGATGCCCGGCCCGGCCCGGCCCCGCCCCTCCCACCCCAAACAGCCCCCGGGGACCGAGCAGCGGCTCACCTTGTCTAGGACGCTGTCGCCCTCAAGCTGCCCCGCCTCGTTGATGTTCCCGAAGAGGAAGCCAGCCAGGGAGAAGGGCCCGGCGCCGCCCTCCGCCTCCTCGTCGCTCTCCGAGTCCGACATCGCGGCGCCCCCCCGCTGCTGCGGCGCTCCCGGCCCAGGCCGCACCCAGGAAACGGAAGCAGGGCACCGACAGGGTCGCAGCGCCGGAAAGCACCATAGAGAGGAGCGCTGCCCAGAGCGCCACAGGAGGCGGAGCGGCCACACCCCCAATCATGAGGCGAGCTGGCAGCCCGCTTCCTCCGCGCATGCGCTCTGCGGAGCAGGGCTATGTGGCCTCTTCGGGAGTGCAGCGGCTCGGTCCGCGCTTCCCGCCCCGCACAGCCCGCAAGGGCCGGGCCGGCGGCCTCCCGCCTCCGGCAATCCCCTGCCCGTTGCCCCCGGGGCTGCGAGCCACGGCGGGGGGTACCACCCCTAGCATGGTAATGACTGAGAAAGCGGAACGAGGCGCTGAGCCCGAGAGATGACGAAGCTTTATTACAGTTACAGTCTGCACCAGTTACAACAATCCCCTCGCGCTGCTTGCTGCGGTACGAGCTCCGCTGAAGCATAAGTCGAGCTGCCACGGCTCCTGCCCGGGGGCCCTCCACAGCACCGGAGGCCAGGCACAGCACGGCCAGTCTGGCACAAATCCCATGCAGAGCTCCAGCCCTACGCTGAAGAGTGCATTTCCAAAGTGAAGCATCACATCTGAACTCCTCAGCTCGATACATAAGGGCTGAACTAAAAACCTTTTGCCTTAAAAGAAGTGACTAGTTTGCCAGAAGGAGAAAAACATCTAATAGTACAGAAGAGACTGACTTGTTACTTTAACCATATTCCCATCCAAAAAATTAGGAAAGTTGTACAAGATTTCTCAACTGTTCTACTCAATATCAGCATCTCTTTTGAACCCTGTCAAAACCAAACCAGTTCTTCAGGGAGCCACTAAATTGCCATCTGTTACCAGCTGACACAAAAATGGGGCAAGAAAGGATCCCAGAGAAACGCTATGCGCTAGTTACAATACTAATAACAATACATGTGTTACGAAAGTCAGGAATGGGAGAGGACATCTGAGCTCTGGAGCGCGAGCACAAGGAATCCCCCCGCTCCTGCCAGTGCTCCTGCAGGGACCAGGTGCTGAAGCACATGAACCGTCAGACCAGCAGGATTTGCTTCTCTTGGCAGAAAACATACAGTAATGCAAGGCATTGTGACCAGCTTCTATTAATGAGGTACTATGAAGACAGTGAAAGCTTTCCAAGTTGCTGTGTTCAAAGGTCACCTCTATTTTACATTCACCATTGTTATATTAATCTCTTAAATCCTGTGTGGAGTGGCTTGCTTAGTTGATTAAAGAGATGGGGATACCACAATTCCAGGCTTAACCCAACTGCCTAAGCGGTAGCTTTCTACATCACCAGGATCCTCCTCCAGTTAACACCAGAATGGACACACTGAACTGTGGAAAAGAAAGCATGCAGCAGTATCTGTTCCCGGGACTTGCTATGCTCACCCTCCTTCACCACCCAGTTCCACAGGACCAGAGTGGCTACAGTGGTATATTTCAGTCCATAAATCACTTAATACTAAAAAAAAACACAAAACAAAAAACCCCAAAACTAGCATGAGCTTCAGCACAAAATTGGGCTTGTGCAGCTGATTTAAAGATTGCACCGATGCTATTTAAAAGTGATCCATTTAGAGCAGTGCAAACCTCTAACCCAGATGCACTTGAAGTTAATCTTTCATTTAAGTAAATGCCATAGGTTTTCACTGATCTAAATAGATACAATTAAAATCTATCAAGGTAAACACCAGTGCAAAATTCTGAATCTAGGCCAGGCTTGAACAGGGCTTATTGGTTAAAATCTATTCACTCTATTACTGAAGTTTACCCACAAAACACAAATGTCTAAGTACAAGGCACAGAATTATTGTTGCTTGCAAGTCAAGGTCCAGCTAAAGACCTGACTGCTAAACTGAAGGCAGGGAGCAAATTACTAATATCACTGAGGTTCTTGTATTACATTGCAGCTTGCAGGGCTCCGGCTTAGAGGCCACGCTTGGAACAACACTTCCTCCACAAGTGCAAAAGGTGCAAAGACTTTCCAGTCAATGGCACTTGGTGAAAAACAGAGAAGAATGGTGTGCAGAAGTGTTCAGGTTTCTGCAGAAATCATGCTATACAGTTCATTTGGTATCTGTTTGAACCATTCTTGGGAAACTACATGATTTCATTAGCTAGTCATATGGCACTTTGGGTCAACCGTAATTTGTAATTTATTCTCTTGGAGTGCAATTTGCTAAGTTACTATCTAGAACTAACATAGCCATCAGACACACTGGGACTATAACTCAAGGCAGGATCAGCACACCAACCAGAGAAAGGCACATCCCTCCTTACTGAGAGCTTTCAGGACACAGGCAGGGCCATATTCATAGCCATCTTGTGCTTCTACAGCAGAAGAGCCAAGGCTAATATTATTTTTAATATATTAGTTTCTTAGTGCCCAGTTGCTGCATCTTGCCAGGCAGAGAGATAAGGGCTCATTCCATCCAGGACAAATCCAACAAACCTTTGCATGGGTAAGTTGTTAGTAAAAATGAGACCCAAACAACTCATTTAGGCTGCAAGGAGCACAACTCCTGATTTCAAGAGGCAAAAAACTCAGTCCTAGCACCACTGGGTTAATACAAAGTCTCTTCTGAAGCACACCACTTCCCAGATCAGCAATCCACAGTGACTCTAGCCCTCAAGAGAGGTTTCACACTGCCACTTTTCTTCTGATCTCAAGTGGATAAAACAGCATGCTTCCAGTTTTTGGCTCTTGGCTTCACTCACAATGGGCTACAAAAAAATTAACTGAAGCTCTAGTTAAATGCTTAATGAATATAAAATTCAACTAGCTAGCACAGGGAATTTTTTAGGCACGCTAGAGCCAAGGTGACCGCCCAAACATCAAAGACCAATTTAGCTGGAACCACTATTAAATCCACTTCCTGGTGCCAGTTCACAGAGGAAATTTCATTGGTCTCATTTAGCATCTTGCCAAGAAGAAAGAAGGGCATTTGCCATGAAAACTGATGCAGTGATGCAGGGGACTCTAGTTACAGTCAAGACAAAAGAAATTAGTTCCTCGAGAGCAAACAGGCTCCTGCCAAGCCTCCAGAATTCACCAAAGGAAAGGGAATGAGCCAGTGTTTGTTTTGAGAAGGAGTGTCATACCAATTACCCCAAGCAGTCTGAGAACTCAGAATTTAAAGTTTCTTTTGAAGGGGAAGAGAAACCTTAACACAACTGAGAAGGCTATGGCAGATTTGCATTTAAGTTTTCCCCTCACCTCTCTATTCCAACACAAAAGAAAATCATTCCTTTGAGTTACACTGTCATTAAGAATGCCACAGACTGAAAGATGCTAATAAAGTTAATAAAACCATGTCAGGTATTCCTCATGTCTGGACCACTGAATTAAATATGCCTGGTTTTCATTAAGTTTCATATATATCATCACATCCTTCACTATAAAGTGAGTCTCAGCAATACTGAAGGCATTTTTGAATTTTGACAAATGCTTTTCAAACTTATTGTCAAATTAAAGCAATAATTAGAAAGCCACACTTCCATCTCGACAATCAAGCTGATCAGTGAAAAAAAGAGCCAGAAAAAGCAGCAACTACACTTAAAGAAGAATTGTCAACATCTGTCTTTCAGCCAGGTCAATAACTGAAGTTTGTCTAGTACAGAAAGAAATGTTTGGCTTTGAAGAAGTCCCCTTATCTTGCTCCTCCACGGAAAAGAACAGAAGCCAACCAAAGACTGGAGAAGTTGAAGACTCTGGAACTCTAGAAGATGAATAAGTGTTTGACCATGCTCTCACTAGGTTGGAACAAAAACTCATTGTCTCAGTTTCCCTGAAGCAGTAAGAAAACTGCAAGAATATTCTTTGCATAAACTGTTTCTTTAGAGCCGTTAGTGCAAGATGCATATCTTCAGTTAAAAAGGAAGGAACCCTCCACGATGCCAGCCAGTCTTTATTCCATCTCAAACGTCTACCACTGTAAGTAACTACAACAGGAGACACTTTTTTGTGTTTTTCTTTGTAACTGGGTACAAAACGGCACGCACAGCCTCAGCAAATACTTCTCGAACACCGTCTTGGTTGAGAGCTGAGCATTCCAAGTACTTGACTGCTCCAATCTGTTTGGCTAGTGATGTTCCCTGCTGCGGGGTAGTGGGAGTCAAGCTTTGCTCCTTCAGCTTTTTCACCGTTTCCAAATCACTTCGTAAGTCTCTCTTGGTGCCAACTAAAAGGATTGGAACATTAGGACAGTGGTGAGAGACTTCAGGATGCCATTTGTGCCTCACATTTGCATAAGAAGAGGGACTTCCAATGGAGAAACAAATGACAAATACATTGGTTTGGGGGTATGAGAGGGTACGCAGACGATCATACTCCTCCTGGCCTGCAGTGTCCCAGAGATTCAGGCTAACTGTCCGGCCATCAACAGTCATCTGGGCACTATAGTTGTCAAACACAGTGGGGATATACTCTTCAGGGAAGGCATTGGTGGTGTAGCTGATGAGAAGACAGGTTTTTCCCACTGCGCCATCTCCAACAACTACGCACTTTATTGTCTGCATTCTTTACCCAAAACGGAGAATCCTACACAAAGCAAGAGAAAAAGTTAGACGGAGATCGTTCACATACCAAAATTTTAAAAGACAATGCTTAACAGGCTTCTCCAATGCCCGTGCTTTCAAACACTTAATAAAAGGTTGGGAGTACCTACACACGCAAGGAGGCACAGGCCCCGACTGAGGAACCCACACCTGAGATGCAACAGAGTGAAGAAAAGATGATAGAACATAGAAGCCAAGCAGTCCGGTAGCAACCAGCCACTTCACGACTGTTTTTATGCAAGTGCCAACATGTGTCCAATGGGGGTCCATGCCCCAGATTTTACTGACAGGCCTTGCCTGCTCTGCCCTTGAATCCCCAACCCTTCTACAAACTCCACAGGCCACACAACATGGCTCCATGGGCCATAAGTCTGACATCCCTGGTCTAAGGCACAGTAACAGAGAAACCCCTAGGAATCAATGTGTAAAAAATTAAACAATTCCTTGAAGAGGCAAATGTACAACTGAACTCTAGGGATCCCATGTATAAAACAAGTAATTAATTCACTCTATTCACCACTCAGACCCCAGAGAACTGGAGAAAATTCAAGGAACACCAATAAAAGGTTCAGAATACAGTACCTACAAAGCTAGCTGAACACATTGTTCTTTGACATACAACTAGAGAGAAGTGGGATCAGTCTATGAATGCACAAAGAACTGTTCTAAAGAAGCCAAGGACGGATTATTCTCACTAGTCACTGACAGGACAAGCAGGAATGAATTAGCTTGAATGGCAACAGAGAGAGCCTATGTTAAGCAATGGGAAAACAGAAATAGCATCCGAGTTCAGCAATGAAATAAACTTCCATGGCAAGTTATAGATTCATTACTCAAGCTATCTAAGGCCAAGACCCTCCAACCACCCGTCCCTCAGAGCATCAAGGATGAGCCTCATGACCAAGCAGCAATCCTCAACCCAAATCATTCTTTTCCCTTTTAATTTGATTCCTACCCTTTTCAATAATGGCTTTACAGAGCATAAGGCTCCTGCTTTCTCCTCACAGGTGCTGAAGTTGCCCGCATATTTGCATGCTGACAATTCTGTTGCTAGTCAGAACAAGAAGGAACCTGCTGCCTGCATCTGCTTCTCCACCCAAATGCCTTTGCTTGTCAGCTTTAACCCAGTTCCCAAACTAAAGGCAAGTTGGAGCTTCCAATCCAGAGAGAAACAATGAAAACAGCAACTACTTTATACATTCCAGAAAAATCAACAGCTCAGAAGCCACAACAGCAGTGAGAACACATTAAAATGAACACACATCAATCACCTTCTACAAAAGTCATAACATTCTTTTTCTGCCAACCCTTTCCTTTTTCCAGCTCCAACCTCTCACTGGTCACGCCTCTGTCCTTCTTGATATCTTGCCTACATAATCTGGTCTTTTGGTTCCCCTCCCCACCCCTCACCCCCATGCCCAAGCACGCACACATACTTTGTGTTAGCTTGAAATAAATTAACAAACAAAACAAATGTTATCAGGTAATTACATTACATTCCCTGTCATATTGGTGCACACACTTGGAATCCTTCAAACTGCACACACATTTGCTACTGATATATAGCAATAGTAACATAGCAGAAAATCTTTTTCAGTAACATGCAGGAGGATCAGAGAGGAAATAACAGTTTCTCTCTGAAGTTGAAAAGGGTAATTTATTTAATAATATAAATCATTCAAGTTAATTTCTAGCCACAGCCCTATGCTAAGGACCCCAACTACTACAAGCAGAAACTGCGAAATATGCACCTAACTGCTCAAACACAGCAACCAGAATCTAGTTCAGGGCTAGAGTAAATATGAAATGGCACGTTCACTCCAGCAGATTTAAAAAGCCACTAAGTCAGACAGAAACCATCCAGAAGCAGAATTGTGTTTGGAGCATTGTTATTTTTGAGGGCTAGCACAGCTATCAAGAACATGAGAACTGCCATTTACTGGGTCAAACCATAGATCCATCTTGCCCAGTACCCTGTGTCCACAGTGGCAGAGAGTAGAGCAGAAAGGGAGAGCAAATTGGATATGACCACGGGGTTTTCCACACCACTGTTGCACTCTCACTTGCAGCCTCCAACATTTAAGGTCCATGAAGTTCTAATTCCAAGGCTGTGTCCCTCACCCCAATGCTCCATAGCTACATCCATCCAATCCCTTTCTGAATCTGGCTAAATTGTCAGCTTTGACTACATCTGGTGGCAACAAGTTCCACACTTTAATTACACGCTGTGTGAACACTTCCATGTGGCAATGGCAATCCTTATCTTCCTGATAGTTGTGCTAGCCCTCAAAACTAACACCACTCCAAACACACTTCCACGTTTTAAACTTACTGCCTGCTAGCTTCATGCTATGACCCCTAGTTCTTGTATTGCAGGGGACAGCAAATAATAAATCCCTATTTACTTTCTCTTCACCATTTAGTATTTTGTAAACCCTTATCATGTCCCCCCTCAAGTGTCTCTCTTCCAAACTGAACTGGCCTGGCCTCTTTAGTCTCTCTTCATATACAAACCCCTCCATACCCCTAATCTTTCTTGTTGCCCTTCTCTGAACTCTCTAGTTCTTTGATATCTTTTCCAAGGTGTGAAGACCAAAACTAGGCACAGTATTCAAGGTGTGGACGCATGGATTTATAAAGCTGCATATTAATACTGTCCATTGTTTACAATTTCCTTGATAATCCCTAACATTTTTGTTTGCTTTTTTGAGAGCTGTTGAGCACTGAGCTGATGTTTTTAGTGAACTGTCCACAACGACTTCCAGATCTCTTTCTCGTGTGGCAACAGCTACGTTATTAAGACTGCACCAGAATTTGTATTATAACACAAGTGAAACAGAAACAGCCTAATCTGGCATTAGAAAAATCAATAATAAGTGTTTATTATTGCACTTTGTGAACTGCTTAAATCATGTGCCAGTTTGCAGTGATAAACTAAAAAGTTAATTATGACTGGTTAAAGCAGGGATGGCCAACCTGCAGCACACAAGAAATCAGGGAGGGCACAGGCAACACACAGGCAGATACAGCAGGAAGCAGAAAGCAGAGCAGCAAACTGGGCAGGAAGCACAGGCACAGAAGCAGAAAGCAGAGCAGCAGATCAGATGGGGGAAGATCAGAGTGGCACTTAG